TTGTTGCATCTGGCCACGAAATTAAAAAATAAAAACAAAGGCCAATAGTGGCTATTTCCTTGATGCTGCGATAGGGGTTTAGAACAAAATATTTTTCTGTTTCCTTAAGCTAAGAGTAGTTCAATTCCGCCTATCGCACAGAGATATTTGGGGAAAGATTTGTTTTTTTTTTGAAGAGTGATACTAGTAGTGTACAGTTAGTATCCTGCCACATACTTGTAGTTCATTTATGGATTAAAATTATTCATAGGTATAGTAGGCTTTTGTGTATTCAAGATGTTTTAAATATTTACAAGTGTGCCGGAAGCAGCATAACATATCCTCTAGCTTCTATTTTTGGCTTAGAAATACTAGTATTTGGTTGTTTTAATTAGTTTTAAATGTTCAAGTATGGGATTTACTAGTAAGGCAAGAGCCTCTTAGTAAGTATGCTGCAGCTCATCCACTGTTTATTTTTCAGGTCTGGTACTACCAGTAGTATCTAGCTACTAAGCATCATTTCTAGGTATTAAGTATAGTGTTTATTAGTATCATGCAGTGAGAATTGTACAGAATATTTTGTGACTTATTCGCAGTTTATTTGTAGCTTAAAATGGTTCTGAGATATAATATAATATGAAGTTTGTATAATTTCTAGTTTTCAAGTGTTTATTAGTTTTTTCAAGTTCAGTGATGCTTTCAAGAGCATTATTATCTAGCTTTCAAGTATAGTGAGTAATGTTTAGTAAAAATAGTCTTTGCCACATTCGTAACTCATTTGCATCTCACTTGTAGCTTGAAATATTCTTTAGACTAGCACAGTTTTGTAAAATATCTTTCAGTATATAAATAATTGTACAATATACAAACCTAACCAAGCTGACCAAAGCCTTTTCTAGAGTATTCACATATAAGTCAGAAATATGTTGATAAGTATCATTTCCAGCTTTCTAGTATTAATTAGCTCTTCCAAGTGTTACTTTTAGCTCCCAAGTATGCTGGATAATATTTAGTAAGGTAAAAGTCTTCAATGTCACAATCTTAGCGTAAAAAAATCTAGAATGCCACAACAGTTTAGAAAATATCTGGACTGCCACAGAACCTTAGACTAGTTGTTAGGAATATCGGAATCCAATACCTAGGAGTTACTCTAAGTAGGGTAACCCCACCCAGAAGCAGAATCTCTAGTCTTCAACACCCCCCTCCGGCCCCCTGACAGGACCCGCATGTCATCATACACATCAATCTCAGTTTCATCCTGTGAATATAATACTACAGAATTGAAAGTATCAGAATAATACCGTATACATCGCCACTGTCTATCTGACCAGATTCTGTTCACAGGATATATAAGAAGGGACCTTCGGCTAGGTCTGAGAAGTGGAACAGAGTAAATCCGTCAACTACTCAGAACGTTATTAGGCTTCAAAGATGTGATACCTTTAGTATAGAGCATAAGTAAAGGGATGTTTTCGCACAAAGAGATGGTATTGAAGGGTAAAGGATCTTAGCAAGAGACCAATACATTCACATCCGCCCTACAACATCTGAAAGAGTCTAGAACTCTGAGGGACACTACCATGGAAGCCATTAGATTTCACAGAGTGTTGCAACTAGGTTTTAGAACATATTGTAGTTACAAGAATAACTTCCAATACTACAACAATGATTGAAACCCTATTACCCAGAGTAACTAAGAATTGCTGACCGAGGAAATATTTGCCAATCCAGTAGAATAGCTTTCTGCGAATTAGTAGGAAGTTCTCCGGAAGACATCTATTGGTTGTGCAAAGAGTTATAGAGGTTTAAAGTCAAATAACCTAAAAAAAGCGTTGTGATTATGACTACCTTCACAGATGCAACCCACAGATGAAACTAATCATTTCATCAACGAGAGCAATAATTGGAGCCAACTCAGTTTGACTTGAGAACTAGGCCACAAGTCTAAAGACTCTAGAGATCAGATAACTACTATTGGGAACAGTATAGTTCCGAGTTAATTATATTGTAATCGCCAAATAGGGTGTAGTGATTTTCAGGGTTTCCAAGTATTCGCACCTTTCAAGAATACTCGATATTGCAAGTTATAATTAGAAAAGTACATAGTTGTGTAATAAATAGATATAGTCTGCGAACACTCAGACGCGGAATATAAATATCGAAGTACCTCCCTAGCTTTGGACATCATCAAGCAACAGAAAAGAGACCTTAACAATATAATATTGTTTTATGATTCTATCTTACTTTACCAAATTTACTTTGCTCTTAGTAGTCATAAATAAAACGAGTAAACTCGAGTCTTTCTATACAATCTCTGTCTACAGAAACAACTCTTGATTGGCCTAGACAATTCTGAAGTCTATCAGATTGTCTCTGCCTAATACTAGTACCATAGAAGGAAGGTTTCTATCTGGAAACTACTCATCACTTTCGCTCCGTGGTATTTTGAATACCACCACCACTGATTCTGTAATATCAGTGCTAGTGGAACTCCATCCATCTCCGATATTAGGGCAGTATTTTTCTTCCTTCGATAAAGTTACAAAAGTCTTACAAGACTGATCAATCTGTAAAAAGTTCAACTACCATGTTTCCAAGTGAGATTCTACCCAAGGAATCTATATTTGCAGGATTTCAAACTGCCCATGAAGGGTTCAAGCAAATAGAACTGAGTTGAGAGATGTTGTAATTATAGTACTTGAAGTCTCTCATAATTGTATACTAGAATGCACAGTATATAACAGCCAGTCTGCATCAAGTAAATAGTACTGGATATAAGAGATTCTGCTGCAATATCTGGTTGTCACTCAATTAACTAGCCTGAAGAAGATTCAAGACTGTTTACGCCTTCGATTTGCTGAGGTTATTGACTATCAAGTTACTCTCCGAGCCAAGTAAGCACTATTGAGTAATGGACTTCAAGCACATCAGCTTAGCTTTTCCAAATTATCCTCCTATATTGATGCCTTAAAACAGCAAAACTCTCGCATACATGTTTATTTGTCCATTGATCCTACAAGCTTACAATTTCAGCGAATCTTCATCTGCCCATCTGAGTCAGTAAACTCTTTCTACTATTACCATCACTTTATAGCTGTAGATGGCACACACCTTACAGGAAAGTTTCAGATGACTCTTTTGCTAGCTGTTACAATAGATGCTGCTTGACACAACTTATTACTTGCATAGCATGTAGTGAAATCGGAGAGTGAAAGCTCATGGGACTATTTCTTTCGACAACTACAACTTGCAATTCTGGCAATCATGACTAAACCTACCCCTCTTATTAGTGATAGTGATAAGGGCCTTGTTAATACTTCAGAAATTCTGTCACCCTCAGTATTACAAGCCTACTGCTATTAACCCTTAAAGGAAACCTTTATCAAACAGTATGGAAAAGGTATAAAGAGCAGATTTTAGGCTATTGCTAGAGCACAGCTACCAGCAGACTTTGAGAAAGAAATGGCAGTATTAAGATCTCAAAATCCTATGGCAGAGGAGTATTTTCATCATATTGATTCAGTCCTTTGGAGTACTTCATTTTTCCCTGAAAACCCAAGCAGATTTGGGCATGACACTTCCAATATTGTTGAATCAGTTAACAAGAGCCTGAAAATAGATTGTCAACTTTCAATTGTGGAACTATTGAATAGCATTTAGCATAGCCAAATGGCTCTTTGGTTTACTCACCTACAAGAAGCTAATAAATACCAACCTCACTTTACGAAAATTTGCCTCTGCAAGTTAGAAGTACAAAATATATAGGCAAGAGGAAATACCATACAACTTACCTCTCCCACAATTATCCGTATTCAGCAACCAAATAGGCAAGTCTACATTGTCAATCTAGAGACAAAATCATGTGGATGCGTTCATTTTCAGCAAAATAATATACCTTGTGGGTATGCGATTGCATGTATATTCCAGCCTTTACTTGATTTTTGTCCCCAGGTTCTGGCTACTTCTCCCTGACAGGACACTTATGCTACAAACTTTATACCTGTTGATATCACCAATCTAGTTCTTGGAGATGTCTTTCCACCTACCACTCACGTGCCACAGGGGTGGTCCAAAAAGGAGAGAATTGACACTAATGAAGCCAGAAGCCGTGCTCGGATTCAGCAAATTGCTGGCGGCCTTCCCCACATACCCAACTGGGCTCCTCACCATTGCTCTACATGTAATCAAGTAGGTCATAATACTCATACATGCAAAAAAAAACCCTATAATTAAGGTGAGAATATTCTTTCCAATTGTCCTGTGTTTGAGCTGCCAAGTTCTTATCACTGACAATTATGACAGACATCTACATAAATGTTTTTCTTTCCTTGGGCTCCTTTATGTATACTGTTAGCTAAACTATGAGTTACTTTATATAAACATTTGTAGTTGTAGAAAAAAACCAGAGACAAAACTAGTCTCAGGTGCTGTGGCATTCTAGATATTTTTTGCGCCAGGATTGTGGCATTGAAGACTTTTACCGTTAAATGTACAGTACGAGGCTGGTAACAAAAGTCACCGGTAGTGTAATGGTACCACACCAAAAGTAGCCGACTTTAGGTAGTTGAATCCCCTCCCTAGGGTACCGAAAGAATGCAAAAAATATCTTTATAAGTTTCAGAACTATGCCAACTTTTCATACACAAAAGCTTAGGTCTAGCAAAATCAAATTGATTCTTTGGCAGCTAAAATTACTCAATCGAAGTTGAAAAATGGCCAAAAAACTATAGTTTTCCATACAAAAAGTGCCAAGACCCAATGTCACTTTTGCTCTCTGGTCAATGGGCATTCCAGAAAATGAGATATATATTCGTAAAAACCCAGAAGAGAAACCCCAAGGAATAAGCAATAGATCTTGGGTTTTATCAATGGAATAAAGGTGGAGTTACAATGTTGTCAACATGGGTACTTTGGGTGTTAAACGCACTTCTACCGATGATTTTTGTTACCAGCCTCGTACCTACTTCCAGAATCGCCCAAAGCCTAGGATATAGTACAAAAAAAAACCCAAAATATTTAGTCTAGCCCATTTTGTCCGTTTTCGGTTCGACCGCATCCACATTTGTTGTCTCATTAGCGGCTGTCTCTTTAGCCGCCTTCTCGACCTCGATTTCTACCCCAACCTCGGCCTTCTGTACCTTGGTAACTTCTGGAGCCGTCTGAGCGGTGTCGCCCTGAGATTCCGTCTCTGGTCGAAATTCCTCCTCTAGGGCAGCGGTTTCGGGGGGTCCTAATGGTTCTTCAACTGTTGTTGCAGGAGTCTCCACTACTGGATCTGTAGCTGAGGTTTCTAATGGCAAAGGAGTAGCCCTAATTGTTTCGGCAAGTGGCTCCTCTGGCGCTGTCTCCTTTGGAGTATCTGCCACTAAGGCTGTAGCTGCCGCCAAGGTCCCAGAGGGTGTAATGATTGCTACGACTTCCTCTGCTTGATCCGCTGAAGGGTCTTTAGGAAGGTCTGGCACCTCCTTCACCTCTGATGGCATAGTTTCTATCGTGGAGGCTGCGAGTATGCATACTTCCTCCTGAGCTTGAGCTACTGGAAGCTGTTCGGCAACGTCAGCCACTGGTGAAGTAGTCGTTACAGGGACGCCCTCTATCGCAGAGGAAGGTCCCAAGGGATCAGTCTGTGTCTCGGCCTTGACTTCACCGATCGGTTGGGCCTTGAGCTCGGTCGGTTCTTCCAACTCAGCCGTTTCATCAACCATCTGATATACCGCATTTACCTCGGCCTCCTCTCTTGACTCTTCGGCCTTCATTGCTTCCTCCTCCACCTTCTGTATAGTCTCCTCCACTTCGGCTTCTAAAGCTCCTTCCAAACCCTCTATTGTCTCCAGCGGAGCAGCTTGAAGAACCTCCCTTTCGGCTTCTTCTACATCAGTCGCGTTTGCGAGAGCCTTGTATTCTGGGCTGTTCAAAATTTCCGCAGCCCTCTCAGTTGTTTCAAGAGTCTTTCCGACTCCGCTATGTGCCCATTTCGGCTTCGCTGCCACGTCTCGTAAATTGTCCAAGCTAACATTCATCCGTTTGCCAACACCTACAAAAACCCCAAATTAGTACAAGTGATGAATATATATATAACACCCACGGTGAGAGTGTTACCCAATTCCTCGAATCCCCAGACGTTCGCCTTCATACCGGTTCCGTAGAACTGGTGCTTCTTCAAGTAAGCCAACCAGATCTCCACCGTTTCCGGATGACCATCCTTAATCTGAATTAACCGCTTATATGTGACTCTCTCAAAATTCTCTTGGGACTTCTTGTGAACGAAATGGCCTCGGGGAACAGTCCATCTCTCAGTCTTTCTGGGAAGTGGTACAGGTCCGGACGCCGGGAGGTTCAGGTAGTAGGCTGCGCGGAGGGCAAAGTCACACATGAACTCCAAGTTACGAACGTTGTAAGACCGTATCTGGAGATTGCATACTGGGAGGCCATGTTCCGCCTTACGTTTGAAAGGCCGGTACCAGACGGACTGAATACTTAAGGGGATGCGAGGTTCCGGGTCGGCATCGGGATCTGCCGCACCGGCACCTGGATTGCTGGCGGAAGTCCTAATTCCCGTCAGGAAAAATCCAATATAATCCGCTATTGTAAAGTGACTGGGACCTACTCCTCAGTAATTTCCTGGCGTAGTAGAGCTGCCGTCGAAAAATTTGACCTTGGTAGGACTGAACATACCTATCCATAAAATTATCAGTTCAATCAATTCTAGCCATTGACACCTCTTGAACGAAAGCATACCCCTAAAGGCCTTCGTATGGTCCGTACACGAGTCACAGCGGACCGTGATCGAAAGGCAAACATGTTTCTGAATCTTTTGAAGGATTTGAAGGTCTTTTGTCGTGGGCGACTTTGTGCTCGGTGAAGCTACCACGTGATAAAGAGCGGGTAACCTTTGTCGAACCCTGCAGCATAGTTTTTGTCTCAAGGTCGCGTTTCACTCCAAGAGCTTCAACTCAACAATCTACGACAACCCCCGACCACGATTTTCAAAAGCTCCATCTTAACGAAAAGAAATCGAGAACTCAAATAATGGAGGCCTCGCGTGGACCCCCCCGTGTTAAAAACAAGGGAGCAAGCACCCAGCAAATCAGGTATATCTCAACACTCTGGACAAACTATCTTTGCCATGCAAAACTAACAAGCATCACAGTGCCGAACAAATTCTTCGAGAAGCTTTCGAACGGCAAGAGCAAGGACTCCAGGCACCGACACAACGATTTGCAGATCTCGAAGAGCTTCATGAGTTTCAAGGCCGGAAGCGCAAGGAATTCGAAGACTATGTGCGCCGTAATCGGATTAACATGAACAACTGGATGCGCTATGCACAATGGGAGCTCGATCAGAAGGAATACGCTCGTGCCCGTTCAATTTTCGAGAGGGCTTTAGACGTCGATTCCCGTTCCGTTGTGTTATGGCTACGGTACATTGAGGCAGAAATGAAGACTCGGAACATAAACCATGCCCGAAATTTACTTGATCGTGCGGTTACAATCCTGCCGCGGGTGGATAAACTGTGGTATAAGTATGTTTACATGGAAGAGACATTGGGTAATATCCCTGGCACTCGGCAGGTTTTTGAGAGGTGGATGTCGTGGGAGCCTGACGAAGCGGCGTGGAGTGCATACATCAAGCTTGAGAAGCGGTACGACGAATTTGCAAGGGCGAGAACTATCTTTCAAAGGTTCACCCAAGTCCACCCTGAGCCAAGGAATTGGATAAAGTGGGCACGTTTTGAGGAGGAGTTTGGAACTGAGGATAACGTCCGGGAAGTCTACACATTGGCTGTCGAGACCTTGGGTGAGGAGTTCATGGATGAGAAACTCTTCATTGCCTATGCTAGGTACGATTATTTATATTTGCCTTGGGACAACCCGTACGTAAATACTGACGATTCTCTCTAGGTATGAAGCTAAGCTAAAGGAGTATGAGCGTGCCCGAGTGATCTACCAATACGCTCTTGACCGTTTGCCAAGATCTAAATCTCAATTACTGCACAAGTCATACACAACGTTTGAGAAGCAGTTCGGTGAACGTGAAGGTGTAGAAGATGTGATCCTGTCCAAACGGCGAGTCCAGTACGAGGAGCAGATCAAGGAGAATCCAAAGAACTATGACGTCTGGTTTGATTACGCCAGGCTGGAGGAGACACTTGGGGATAAAGATAGGGTACGAGATGTTTACGAGCGAGCGATTGCAAATATCCCCCCAACCAAGGATAAAAGACATTGGAGAAGATATATCTACCTCTGGGTATTCTATGCCCTCTGGGAAGAGATGAAAGGGAAGGTACGCCCACAATTCAACCCTTCCCACTGCCAACATATCCCACCGCCTGTGATCCACAAACCCACAAACAAGCGACAGCTAACCTCTCCACCAGGACATCGACCGCACCCGCCAAATCTACAACGAATGCCTAAACCTAATCCCACACAAACGTTTCACCTTCGCCAAAATCTGGCTCCTAAAGGCACACTTCGAAGTGCGACACTTCAACCTCCCCGCCGCGCGAAAAACCCTGGGCCAGGCGATCGGCGCCTGTCCAAAGGACAAACTCTTCAAAGGCTACATATCGCTCGAAACTCGACTGCACGAGTTCTCCCGCTGTCGCACGCTCTATGAGAAGCACATCGAGTTCAACCCATCCAACGCACAGACCTGGATCCGGTTCGCGGAGCTGGAAATGGCGCTGGAGGACTGCGACCGCGTTCGCGCCATCTTCGAACTCGCCGTGGATCAGGAGCTACTGGACATGCCGGAGCTGCTGTGGAAGGCCTACATCGACTTTGAAGAGGAGGGCGGTGAGTTTGATAAGGTTAGAGGTCTCTTCGAGCGCCTGCTGGAGAAGACGGACCATGTTAAGGTCTGGATCAGCTATGCACACTTCGAAGTCAACGCAGATGAGGGCGAGGATGAGGACAGCGTTAGCGAGGAAACTAAGGCGCGCGCGAGGGAGATTTTCGAGAGGGCGTATAAAAGATTGAAGGAGAAGGAGCTTAAGGAGGAGGTTTGTTCCCCATTACCAGAGAGTTGCGGGGTCTAATGGAGATATATGTAGCGCGTCGCACTCCTCAACGCCTGGAAAGCATTCGAGCAAACGCACGGCACTCCCGAAGACCAGAAGAAGGTGGAAGCGCAGATGCCCAGCAAGGTCAAGAAGAGGAGAAAGCTGGACGACGATACCTACGAGGAGTACATGGAGTACATGTTCCCCGCCGATGAGCAGTCCAACGCCCGAATCCTCAATATGCTACAGGCTGCTCGTGCCTGGAAGCAAAATCAGGCAGGCTTGGGTCCTTGAGGATTATGTCAACTTTTGCACTAGTTTTTGTCATGGAGTGCTGATTATTAGATTTTGTTTTTGTATAGTAGGGTGAAAGGGGGGATTGCTCGAGCTGAAGGAAGGAGAGAGGTTGGGCGTACTAACTGAGAATTGGGAAGGGAAAAGAAAAAAATCCAACCCTAGAATAGTTGATAAATGCAGGAGACCCTTTACCAGTCTAGCCTCCGCTCTCGTGGGAGGGAGTGGAAGACTGGATGAACGAATGGAAAGAAAAAGGGGGGAGAGAAAAGGAAAGTGAGTTGGTAGTGTTTCCTGGGTGCATTTGTGAGATACTCGCTTGCTCCTGACAGGGAGGGAGGTGGGCGCCTACTCACCCATGCCAGTTGGGTTTTGATAAGCATTGATGGTGTGGCATGGGTGATTTTTGGTGACCCTTGGGTCATGCTAGTTTGGGGGTGGCCTAAAAATTTAATTCGCCTTGATGGTTCTATAACGTCGCTCATCGGAGAGGGTTCTGTCCCTCTCCTCCGGTAGCCTCTGCAGGAGAATCAGTATGATATGGCCCTAAGCACTAAAGTTGATCAAGGGCATACATACCCCACGGTTCCGAAGCATATGATATACCGCATCTCGACACACCCAAGTGATACCCCTCTTTGGCAGGCAGGCTCAGGACCGCATAGGAATGGTCCCTGCAAAAAGGCTCCTTGTTTTGATCCTCAACCTCGTCCTCGGTTTACCTCTCACCGGATCCTTTACTTCTAGAAATTGTATAAGTGGCAGAGTGGCGACGTGACATTGAGAAGCTGTCCCCGGTGCTAGTATCAGTAGAACTAACTCGACGCTGGAGGTCGCGCGAAAGTTTTTCCAGATAGGGAATATCCAGTAAACCCAGAAGAACAAGCGGAGAAGGAAAGAAAACAGGTCGATGTAATCTATCCAGATCCTGATTTGGGGGACGACTACTCACCCGCCCACCCAACAACAGTGCCGGTATTTCGAAGGGGTACTGTGCATACTGTACCACATTTCCCTGCGATGGCTCTAGAGCACTGCATAGAGAGGGAGAGAGACCTAGGGCTCGCTCGGATCGAGCCCCCCACGCTCCTCCCCTCCAATATCTTGCTATAGAGTCAGTTGAAAGACGAACCCTTGCACGAGTAAGGTAGTGAATTACGAACCACTCGGACTCGCCCAGGTCGATCCTCTGTATGATATCAAAAATTTCTGGGGACATCCTCATTATCCTATTGCAGGTTTCCTAGCAATCTATAGTGTATCGTAGTACCGTAAAATCTCGTGAAATCCACTATATCCGCCAGCCCAGGGTGGGTTTAACCTAACAGGTTACCAGAATTAATAAGACCCGACACATTGTTGGGGTCTCTGCTTCGCCGTTAGCGTTCTTTTCTTTGGTGAGAATCGGCAGGCAGGCCATGGGTCAAGACTCAATCATAGAGAACAACAACAAATGTTGCGGAAAAAAAGAAAGGTTAGAAGATCGTTTCTTTTCTCAATACTGCTCATCTACTGTCCTGTTCTCAATGGTGGACCCCGAGCCCCCTTTGCACAACCAATCCACCACAAAACGTCAAGGCATTCTCTTTGGATAAACAACACTCCGAGACTACAAAGTTACTCCTACACCGCCACGAGTCCATCCACGTCCTCCGCAACACCCCGTAGACCGATCCCATAATGTGCCGGGAAAACGCTAACCCTTCTCCTGAGTCTTTGTCTCTGAATCCTGAGATCACCACAGGGCCGGCGGAGATAGTGGATTTCACGAGATTTTACGGTAGGGCATGAGGTTTCGTTATAAATCATTGGTTTCGTCCATTATCTGCGGGCAGCCAATAGCCAGAATAACTTTTACTAACTTATACGCTCAATAGTTGTTATGCTCTACATACCTGATCCCTTGTTTGATATATTTGGGCTGCCTCAAACATCAACTACCTAACAAGAGTAGTACTCAGTGTTTGCTCATCCATCCTATCATACTCTCCTTTAAATTCGAAGTTTCCAGTTTTTATAGCACAAGGCCCCCCGTGGTTGGCAATGTACCGACCTCAATACCTGTGAGCCGGTAAATGCACACCGGTGAATCATAGCCTGATATGACCGTCTGTTTTCGTCGGGAATGGAGTGCGTGCATATACGCCACCAAGAAACGGAGATATCATATTTCCCCACCGAGTAAATCTTCTCCACAACTTTTCGTTGTACGCTCTGTGCGCCACAAGTAACCTCAGGATCAAGCAATTCCGCAAGGGATTCCTTATTACTTGGATAGGCTTTGGCGGGCGAGGTCATTTCAGGTTGTCAATGTCGTCGTAATCCCAGGTCGCATGACAATTATATTCTCTGCCCAACCGGGGTGGCCAGGCGCAAGAATCTCTTTGCCAAAAACTCATCTAGGCACCTGCACGCGGGTTGGGTAGTATCCCTAGAAACTGAGACATGGGCCACTACCACGATGACACCGAAATTTACGTTTGTGGGGTGTACGGCCCACCACTTTTGAAAGTACCACCCAATATTCTCTCGTGCAGCTTAGTGCTTGGCCACGGCCAACTGTGATTTCAGCAGATATGCTGTGGGGTCTGCTGGCCAATCTTTGATAATTGCACCAACTAGCTTCCTTGCACAATTCAAGTTTTCCTCTTTTGAGTTCGCAATGACTGCATTGCCCACCAACAATACTCCCTCCATATCAGCAGCATGGTTGTGCGGATATCATCAGACGGGGAAACCGTGCAATGGTCATGCATGACGCACAAACGAAGGTTGTACCCTAGTTCGAGAAAATACCACAGGGTTGATTCCATTGATTACACCGAAAGATCTCCAGACCTACTCAATGACTTACATAGGACATTGTGCGGCGGTAGTTGGTGACCGATCTTTCATAGTGAATCCATAAACGTTGTGAACTCTTTGCCCATGTATCTGCCACTCTGCTATACATATAAGCTACCAAAGAGTGGTTTAACTGCCGCCATGCAACGACGGTCCGAAAGCACAGTACTGATACCAGACTCTATCCCATAGTTAATCGTCCGGGAGCCAGCTGCTGCTGCCAGTAGGCTTGAATATTTCCTCATGGTGCTTGGTGGTGTTTTCCGCAACATTTATGGCCCATTGACGCTCACCATGTCCTACTCACTTGACCAGCACTGTTAGTATCATTAAAACGGTGAGACGGCCAGAGAGATGCTTGGTTAGTAGCCTAGGCATGCTCCAGCGACCCTCACGACCGTCTGAAAGAGGCGCGTAGTATTCTCAATCCCACACCCGCGAGAAGGGTATGAGCAGTCGACCATGAAATGCACCAATAGGTGAACTTGAGGGGTTTAGTGTTCACCACCTACCATTAAGAAAACGAATCATAATACCATTAGGAGACCGGCTACTCCGTGAGCCAGACCACTTGTTATTATTATTATTGCGCTGCTGGCCTCAAGCCCCCATGAGCATTTTTGGTCGCTCGATCCCATAATTTCGTTGGGGGGGATACCCAGATCCACGTACCCCTCAATTTGGTTCTCACTTGCACGTTTTTTTGCCCGTTTTTTCAGCTAACTCAGCCCCTTCCACGAGTCGGATGCTCAAGCGGACCTTGTAAGATTGAGTTGTAAGATCTCGGTATATTTCGAAGAATGATGCTGGAGTACGGAAAGTAAGGTCAGTTTCTACGAGTCTGCATCTACGAAGCAGCACAAGGCGATTCGGGGGCGATTGACCATAAAAAACCTTGATCTTTTCCTGCGGTGTGTCCAAGGGGGCATCTGGGGTACAATTTTCTCACTGATATCCGTTGGCCGGCAAGCAAACTAGGGAGCTGTTGGAACGGATATAGCCCGAAGCTGCTGTGTTAGGATGGGTGGGAGTGAGGGGGATAACCTACCATCCGGCAGTGGTAGCTCTCTATCCGGCCAGAGAATTAGATGGAGAGGTAGATAACCAGAAGAGGTTGGATTCTGGGAGGTATAAGTGGGTGTATGAATAGATGTATAAATGTATGGACCACGGTGACGGGCAGAAGGGACGGCTTCGTGCGTAAGAGTATGGCAATGGGAGTGAGAAACTGAGAGCAAGACCGCCTATGGTGGCAGCGGCGGAAAGTTGACAGCTCTAAAAGTGCCGGCCGGAGATGTAATGAATTGGGCTACCCCCCCCCCCCCACCTCTCTCTCGGGTACATGCATTGTCCAATGGCAAGGCAAGACACGGGTCTCCGGGAGCCTGCAACTTCAATTCCCATATGTAATTGTACTCGTACACCCCGCAAATATAGGAGTAAGAGCTTACTCACACACAACATTGGACTTCTTTCTCACAGATAATAACTTTAATCAATAGGCTGTGCTCTCCCTCCTCCTGCCCACGCAAGTCATTTAAAACCAGAATCTCCAATTTGATCGCCAACCACTCTATCACTGGTCTTGAAGCAGACATCCCACCTTTTCAGGGGGTCTCCTAAGGAGGGAAAAGGGAACAAGTGAAACAGAAAGTAAACAAAATTAAGAGAAAGGAAAATAAAAGCAAACGTTCAACCCCAGGCCAGCTTTGCACATAACGCCGTGAGAAGCATGCAAGAAAGGAGCGCATTGTAACAACTTCGCCATGTAATGCCCTCCCGCCGCAAGTAGAATCTTGGTCTCAATAGACAGGAGTGAGTCAGGCAATGATTCAGCCAAGCCTCGTTTAGGTGGCATGCAGGTAAGCAATCATTACAATCATTGGTGTCAAAGGCTATCCTATATAGAATTACATCTGGCGACGGAAGTGACATAAGACAAAAAAAAAAAGCGTAAACCCCCAATTTATGAATCAACAGCTCTTATGCGCCAAAGCCATGTTTTTTAGGGTGTATAGGTAGAAAGTTACCAATTATTAGTGCGGGACTGTGGTTCACAAGCCAGTTAGCAGTAGAATATTAGCCGCTGATGACGGGGAGTAACCAACATATCGTTCATATCTCGTCGAATCGTGAATGAGAAGCAACAATGGATGAGCTTTTCCTTAGCATTTGGATCAGGGTTCTTCAAATGGCAGCTCGTCAACATAGCCTTTTGAGTAGTGTCAAAGGCGATGGTGCCGAATTTCTCCCAGTAGCTTACAGCAGAATCTTCTACGACTAGCTCATAAATCGCCAACTTTCCCTAGTTGACCCATCAGTAACGGTTTAACGAAACATGCAGCCTTGCATTCATCCGTGATGAGTGATAGTTTCAAAGCGCCCGCCCCCGCCCCCCGCTCAAGCGTGGAATAAGATGCTTACATCTCTCATTTGCTCTATTGGGACACTTATAAGTTCCGCAAACTCCTTATTTCCTCTGAATATCTCTCCAGTCCTCCGCCAGAGGCAAGCTGGGACTGCCATGGAAGCAAAAACTCGATCGTACTCAAGTAAGGACTTTTCAAACCATTCTTCCACGTGAACTAAATCGAGATCCGTCAACTGATGCGTCCGCTCCCTGAACTTTGGTCTGAACTTGTCCAATTGCGCTAGTATCCTTCTGCGCGAACTGTGCGCCATGTTTTTCTCCATGTACTGCGAAAGTCTGGCGTATCCTTTTACATAGTTGAAAGGCTTCAGAAGGCCCGCTTCAAGTTTCGCCTTTAGGACCTGTTTCATCCTCTCCTCCGGAGCATCCTGAGATGGATCCGCGGCAGTGAGATAGTAATTTTCCTTTGCCCTCTCGGTCGAGGGCTTTGCACTTCCTGGGCGAGGGATTGACGATGTTGAGTTGGGGTTTACAGGCGGTAGAAGCCTCTGCTGATTGAAGGTGGTATTACTCGTGCCAGATTGACCCAGTTGAACGTTGGATGATGTGTCTGAAAACAGGCTCTGGTTCTGATCGGCGGTGAAGATCTCATCGGGGTATAGATTGCCGAGGAAGTCACTCAGCAAACTAAATTCGCTGGACACTTCCGGAGCGGAAAACATCCACTGATGATGATATGGATTGGTATATGATGTTGCTTGTTGTTGCGGCAGCGGATGATCCCAGTCGGTAACTCCCAAAACTGTCACTTAATATGAGCGAGAAGGTCCTCACAAGGGTTGCAGCCAAGTATTTATATCAGGGTCCAACTTACAGGCTTGGGAACCTCCATTGAGGGCTGCCCTCGGCGCTACAGAGACTGGGGACGGTGCGACAATGGACGTCCCTGCACCGGGCCTAGAGGGAGGTATGGGTGGTGGAGGAAGCGAGACATTGGAGGCAGTAGTTGCCGTGGATGCTCTTACCTCTTGTTGCTCAAGTGGTTTTGACATGCCGTTGACCGGAGGCGATACTGACGCCTTAGAAGGAGAGGTATTCGAGTCCTCCTGATCGTTTTCCTGGGTGGTTGTAGAGGACTCTGTCTTTGACTTTTTGGGTTCGCGAGGCTCGTCGTGACATAAATGACCTATATTTCTTTTCACACAACGCATACATGGCCGGTCTGCCAACGTAGCACATCAGCATTCTACACTCACTATAGAGTTCTCTCGGCCAGCCTGTTGGAAGTAGCAGAAAGCAGAGAGAATAACTAAGTCGAACGGAGGTTTTTTCTCCTTACGTACCATCATCGCACGTCATGTGTGATCTTCGGCAATACACGCATGCTATCACGCGACCTTAAGTCAGTTTATAGGTTCCAGACGCTGTCGCAGGAAGGTTATACAGGGTAGGGAAAATCTCCAATGTCTTACCATGATTGACCTTGCGGCGCTTTTTAGGGCTTCGTCCCATAGACGTCTGGCCAGGAGTCGAAGTAGTCGGAGATTGGGAGCCCGACGGCTCAGCACCAACGGTGCCCAACGAAGAAGCCGAATTCCCAGATGCACCGCCCTGAGAAGTACCGACACCCCCTCCATTACTCTGTTGAGCGGATGGATGTGGGGCTCTCACTGCAGCCCCATTGCTACTCGCACTTGCGGGAGGGTGAACCTCGGTCATTTGGAACGAAGGATTGGAGGAAGGGTGGAATTAGTTTCAAGTGTTATTGTTGACTCTTGTTTCGCCGCATTCGACTGAGCGCTCTGCTGTAAAGGGCGAACCGGTTACACCCAGAATGTCAGCGCGCTGATCGATCGGTACTGCCTCGCTTTCTTTCCTTTTTTTTTTTTTTTTTTTTGCCCTCCCTTCCTTCTCGCTGCGATCACTCTTTGGCGGATGTCGAGTGTAATTTTTTTAATATTTCTCTAATTTCCTCTCCCTTCCTGACCCCTCCAATTCTCCTACTCGAGTCTGCCACGCAGAGGGAGCGAAGCGTGTGGATGCCGACAGCGTGGTTGCACGTACGCGTGCAGAGTCGAGAGGAATGAATGGAGGCTCTAGGCGGGCGGTCGAGGTGTCGCACGACCAGAAAATGATGCCGGCCCGCACGGTAGTGGTGGGCAGGAGATGGCAAAGCGCAGTACAGGATACCCTTCGCAGGGTTGATACGCACACAGTGGGTAGTTGTCAGGCCAGTCTTGAGCACAGCAGGCTAGTGCAATTTTCTTCTTCTGCTATAGGAGAGTGAGTGTACCGGTACAGTGCTCGCACAGTAAGAGCGATCAGAAAGACGAAAGAAAAGCACAGGTACGGTAAACTTTGTGTGTAGGCTGCGTCGTAGTTGCCTCTTTGTCCTGGGTTGTATTTCGATGAAGCTGAGTGGTTGGAGAGGGGTCGGCGAGAGAGAGAAAAAAAAAAAGTCTATAGGACTCCATCTACTTCACCCAGACTCACAAGAGAAGTCCCTCGTCGGCCATGCAAGCCATACAATTACGAGTACATCTGGGCATGTAAATAACATGAATAAATTAAATTAAATTTTTACATATTAAGAAGGCATCTACTAAAAAAACAGTATTGGCCGAAGAAGATATAAACTACCCTACTGTACCTGCACTCGAACTCAACGATTGAACGTAGACAAGGCTCATTCCTCTCTTCCCTAGGGTTTCCCCACGCATCCTCGCTTGCTGGCTCCATTGCAAACAAGTCTTGAAAATCTGCCCTGCACACCGGGATATACTCGAGCATTGTGCCATACCATAGGTAGCTGAATTCTTACATACATATTCATGGCAACCAACCATTCAACACGACGGAGTTGCCGGTAGTTCTCGGTAATATGACGAAATGCGGTCTTTTATCGTATCCTTAACAGCCTACTTTGACGCCCTTACTCCAGTATTTGGTACCCCTGGATCCTGAAGAGCAAGGGAGTATTTCCACCATGCTGGCTTAGTTATTGGCCTAGATCCCACAAATGGAATCTCCGTTACCCTTTCCGCCATTATTCCCCGCTTCTCGAGTAGGAGGTCGTCTTGGTATCGTGAGAACAACACTTTCACACCAAGTCTGTTCCCCGGTACTTGATCCAACAAACACCACTAGGTAGTCTAATGCCGATGCCATACCTTATTGCTGCTAGTAAGTCTAGCTCTTTGCTGTATGTACCTGATTGGCTGTTTTCCGCTTCTAGTGCAATGGGGAGGGTGCTTTGTTAAGCCGCACACGGTCACAGGACAGTTCTCACAAGTCAACAGGGTGAAGTAAGGCGTGAATTTACACTCACCGATAAATAAATCTGCTAGCTAGAGCAGGCTGCGTGATTACACTGTGCCTGGGTATTGAAATGAGAGAGAACCCAATGGTAGGGCCTTGTCCACAGAATCGTGAGCCATCAAGAGTGAATCCATGAACAACGAAAGCAGGAGCAATCATCTTCATATATTCCTAGCACCCCCCGGTCACCACTCCGCAGCCTCGGCCACTGTATATACCATCCAGCGAGTACCAAACCTAACTCTCTACCGTAGGTCAAGCTGCTAATATGTGGATTCATCGCCAACGCAGAATCTATTCTACTGTACCCTCCGAACCCCGAACGGCAAACTCACAGTCATTTACACTTTTCAATATCTGGCCCACGCCCCTTCGTTCCTCTTGTGGTGGATCACAAGATGGATTCCTTCATACAAGCATCATTTCTATCCTGAGAATCGATTCCCCTAGATAAAAAAAACTTTTCAGGCCAGGAGCCCATTCAAACTAAGCGTGAGGTGAGCCACTCCCCGATTTGAGTTCATCCTAACGTTACTTTTTTCCTTCCCCCCGTGATGGAAAGCTGGCGTGGATGTTTCCAGTAAGCCTTTCTTGGAGCACTCTTCCCGGCTGCTTATTAATGGAATCCCTAAGTGTTCTATGCTGACAGATGGCTTTCCTTTTGGGGTACCACTCAAGTAGGGATCTACGAGTATTTTTATTCTCGGGCAAACCAACCAAATAACCAACCAACCAACGGTCAATGATTGTTCCCCAACGTTGATTCGGCCAAACTCGTCCTTGAACTGATCACATTTTATCTCCACGTCTTTAGGCATTGGTTCCATAAGCGTATGCGTAGCACCAACGCTATTGGGGAATCTCCTGTCGTGGATGTTTCCGTTTTCATTTGGGTGAGAAAGAGCGGGGTAGGTCTTCGCGGAACGAGACTCTAGCGATTGTGTGGTTAAACACAGATAATGTGTCAATCAGGGAAGTGGGTAACCTAACGGCTCCTCCCGCAATCCACTCACAAGACCTTGTTTCTACGGCACTCTGGAGACTTTGGAAACCCTGCGTCCCAGAGAGCCTTCTCCTGGAGCAGGGAATGATCTACCCGCCGGACCTGCACCTCACCCCTACCGCGCTGTACGGTACCATCAGATCTCTGGCGCGAAACCTGACCTCTATTATGATATTATACTTGAGTACGGTACTCGAGTACATGGCTAAGACAATACTTGAAGTTCCAGCTAAACCTGGTTCGTGTGGTAATCCTGGCCGATATGCATGATCGTGATTGCTGCTCACCCACCCAGCACCTCCGAAGCCGAAACCCTACTCCTCGTATTCTGGAAACTACTTCCCTTCTGGTGCCGTGCCCCTATTTCTCCACACGATTGTCTTTGCGGTGAGTCCCAAGTTCCCCCTAAACCTACCTTAGATCATTGACATACACCAGGCTTGAAGCCACCGTAGGCTGTGTCATACATGACCGGCAGTTAGGATCTGAATCTAGAGTAAGAATAGGATTAGTTCTCGCCCTAGACGTACCCCGTTGGGAGGAGACCCTGGATCTCCAATGGGGCGGCAGCTGTCATCCTCAAGGTCACCTATTCGGAAGATCCCGTATCCTCCTCTCCCTTTAGCTGACTGCCATGTCACACAACGCTCCCTTCAACACCACCAATACGGTATTGCTACGGCCTTAGTATATAACTTATCCAACTTATTGTCACCAGAGGGGCGCCCAACCGCCTAACCTGGACCGCTGGAAGATGCATTATAACAATGCTAGTGGATCTTTTCAAGCCTACACGAGCACTAGAGTAAGTTAACGCGGAGGCTTCTGGGCACTCCATCAGAAATGGGTCGGGCCTTCCGCGATTTGTTGATATATACCGGCCCAAGTTCACGGTCCGTAGCACCGAAATCCCATACTAGCCAATTGTGAAATTCTGTCGCGCCAGTGTTTACTGACTGAAGAAGTTTTTACAACACCCCCTAACTGAGGGCGATCCCAACCTAACCAGTGCCGTAAAAACTCGAATGGAAAAGAATTGTGCAAAGTTGTTGAATTAAGCTCAACCGTTAAGAAATGGTACTATGTTGTAAATAGTGATACCATCACCCACTAAAAATATATGCGTTAACTTTTAAATTCAACTTTGCATTATTCTTAGAGTCACGGTATGATATCTAAAATATATACATACATATTATTATATATATATTATATCTGTAATTAAAACCTCAGAGGCCATGAAAAACATAAATAAATAGTATTATAAATAGATAAAGATCATGACTATGGATATATAGTGATACAATACCAGTACTATACTCATATTATAATTATATTTTCTATTTATAATTGTTCTATTCAACATTTAAGAGTCTACACTTCTCTAAGAACTTAACCTCAGGTGTTCAACAAAAAAAAAAAAAAAAAACTCTCTTGAGTGTATCTATACTACAAGTCAAATAGTCATTTTACTGTTTCCTCAATTCTACCTATATTTTAAAAGAACAGCCATTAATGTTTTTCCTCTTTTATTATATCATAATAATATTTATATATTTATTTTTGAAAAACTATTTCAAGTTTTTAAAATATTTAAACATTGGATTACAGGAATTAATCTTAGTAAAGTATGATATCATAGTAAGAAGGATAATTTTCCACACTTAATCTGTTATGGAATACCAAGAAATATTTACCAATGATCATACCTACCATATAGTTAGAAGTGCATTTACTGCTATCAACTTCTCACTTCCAATTAATAGTATTTGAGATTCTGAAATCTGTATCAAGATTTTAAGCCTTGTGTCTTTGTGGATGAGCTGAAAGATTGGATAGAGGAACTAGTATAAGATTGTGGAGTTGTAGAAGAGACTGGAGATGGGGGGGAGCAAGAGGAAGTTTAAGTACTAAACACTACATACAGCATTACATGGAGGTGAGCATGACCGAGAATATGTTGCTAGATATGTAGTATTAAACAGAAAAAAACCTGCTCTTAAATGTATAATAATATTATGTCTTATAATACGATTTGTCTTGACTCAACCTTCCTAGTATCTTGGCATAAACTCACTTTAAAATAACCTCAAAGCACACTTCTAGAATCTCTTCCCCACCTTTATTTTTGTTTTTATTTTTGTTTTTGTTTTTTATTTTTACGGCAAGTAGACGCTCTGCCTCACCGAGACATCCGGACAGTCTACCGGTAGGATCTTACCGGCAGCTTGTTTTCTTATTACTTACCCCACCGCTATGATACCGTAACTTTCCAAGTATATAACATGCAGGGCTCTGGCCATCCACCCACCCTTGATCGGATCGGACGGGCAACCGGTATCCCCACCGGGCGCTCGGGGCGCCCTCGTTACAGTACGGTGATCGGGACGACAAGCAAAAGAGAGAAACAAAAAACAAAAAACACACAAAAAAAAGCAAATTCGGAATGTCTGATCGAGCAAAAAATCTTGGATGCGAGATAATCAAGCCATCGTGCTTGGGACAGCCTGTTGTGTTGCCTCACCACCCGGTAAGGTAAGCTGACAGCTCTACTTTCTTTTTTATCTTTGTTGTGCTATTGATTTTTTGTGTCTCACCGGATGACTGACACAGGCAGAAGGCGCCGAATGAGGGTACGGTTTACCGTATGTTTTTTCTCACCGCTCCACAACTAGCGTCTACCGTAAACTTCACCGCTCGTGGCTGTGGGCTATAAACGTCACTGCCAATCACTCGTTACTTGGCATTTGACTTGGTACAACCAGCCACTGCCTGAGTCGCAATATCAGATTGTGGTTTTTCACAATCACCGGTTTCGATTCGGTCGTTTTATGGGGAAAGGAAAGGCTAACTACCTCTTCGCCTTCACACCCACCTCCCTTCCCCGGCCATACAGGCCCAAGTGACAAAATTACTCAAGTGTAGATAACTATACAGTACAGTACATTCCGTGTTTCTCCGTAGCTGCAGTCCCGGAAAATTCTCGTCTAGAGTCCCATAACGCTATCATAGACCTGATCACCTGCCTTCCTGAAGAGAACTTCGTCAATTGCCGCTTTACTCTTCTGAATCCATTCTGCGACTTCTCCTAACGCTCCGCTATTTCCCTGCATACTTGTGAGATGCTGCTGCAATTGGGTCGTTAAGGGATGCAATTGCCGGTCGGAATCGACATCATATAAAGATGCACTCAATTTAGAGGTGAGATTTATTTTTTCTACAATGTCAATTGGATCTTGCTTCGATGGGACATTGCGCAGAATTGGATGCATCTGTGCGGCATCTGTCCGTTAATATCATTGACCAACTAACCATGGGAGGCCAGGTGTTGGGTAGCCGGTGTAGTAGGATACGACATACATTTCGAGATTTTTGGCGCCTTATGTTTTCCTGCGCAATTGCGTTCTTTTTCAATTCTTGAAGGTAATCTTCTTCTTTTTCCAGCAGCTTCTGCTCCTTCTCAATCTCAGCCTCGAGCCCAGCGATTTGGCGGAGATCCGGCTCCAGGATGGCTTCCAGTGCACGCTTGTTGTTCCGGGGAAAGGGATGTCAGCAACATAGCATAAACTATCGTGTGTAAGCGGGGGTAGTGTAGCGTACGTTCTTATCCAACAAATTTTCATAATTGAAATATGCATCTTTTCCCAGTGGCGGAACAGGCACCTTTGTTAGCGAATTCCCAATCCTACCACCACAGGACCGGTCAGCCAGCCAGCCAGTCAGCCAGTGAAAATGAAAGAGAAAAAAAAGAACCATCAACATGACACGACATGTTACTTGATCAATTAATGCAAAGCCATACTTCCGAACAAGCCTATGTAGCACCTCCTGCGCTTCCACCCTCCTATTCTCCCTCCGGAACGTCATGAGGACCGGTCTTTCCGCAGCCCTGACAACCTCCATGACCTCATCACGCCCCTTATCGGTTAGGACGCCCCATTTCGCTTCGACAACCTCCTGCGGGATGTTGCGCACCCGCGGTTTTAGCATGGGCATTTTGATGGGCCCGGGTTCGTCTCCTTTTTGATTTTTTGAAAAGCAGTCATCAGTCTTCGCCGAGCCATTAGAGAGGCGAACAAACTAACTTTCTTCTTCTGCTTCTGCTTCATGCTGGGAGCGGTCGCCAACTTCTTGCGTTGCTGACTTGCGCTTCGCTCCCACTGCCTTGGTTGATACTACCGGTCGGCGAGGCGGCATGTTGCCGGGTGCCGAAGCGGAGGTCTGGACTGGAGGCGCTGCTTTCGCTTTCGCTTTTGGATTCGCAGTAGTAGTAGTGGTGGTCCTTCTCATCCGCGAACTTGCCGGGATGATCTTTGAGCCTCGTTTCCTAGCACCACCGCCAGCAGCAGTAATGAAAGATCGTGTGGTTCTTTGTTTCCGTTTGGATTTATTGGTCGCCTGCTTTGTTAGCTAACTCGTTAAGAACCAGAGAGAAGGAGGGAGGTGAATTACCATAGTTAGAGTATTGCTCTAGCAGTGAGTAGAGAACAAAGGTAAAACGCGTAAAATGGAAAGTGCTCGCAGGTTCTCGCGTTAGGATGGGCAGGGTAGGGAGGGAGCAGGGGTGGTGGCACTGAAATTGCTACTCCTCGTTCTGGTGAGTGCGTAATACTCGCGTAAATCTCAGCCCGCTCTTTAAAAGATGGTAGAAAAGTTGTGGTGGGGGGTGGTGGGACCCCTACATCAATCATGGCTAATCAAAGTACCGGTATCAAATTCCCACTTAGAACACAGAAAACCCCAAACAAAACCACCATCAAAAATGGTCAGCACGAAAATCCGCATGTTCCATTTACGCTCCGTAACACCCCTCCCGCCCCAAACACCAATCTCAATTAACAAATGGTTAGCGCTTAGCACTCATCCGCGCGGGCACCGGCGCAGCGATTCTCCCACCGGAAGTGCGCAAGTTGGGCCTAACGTTCGCGATGAAGAACACTGACGGTCATATGGGTCCTCGGTACAGTGCACCCCCCGCGCCCCGAAGATAGCCAGCTAATTCAGGGTATGATGTGCGGTAGGAAATTCTGGCGCAATTACCTCCCCCGCCTGAAATATCATAATCCAAACGTGGACATGCAGGTGCACCGGGATAGGGAGAGTGGTGGTGATGCCATGTTGGTTATTGAATTCGGTATGCCCTCACCGCTTCCCCGCTTGTCGGTTGGTCCCCGGAAGGGGTTGCAGACTAATTGATGGTTTGGGGGTGGTGTGGGTAGACGGAGGCAAGACGGAGACTATTGACGTAAAGCACAAACACGAGAACGATATTGTTCGCGCTGTGTTAGAATCGACGAAGGCGAAGCCGGTGCCCACGTCCGAAGAGGATGCGGAGATTGTTGCCCAGTACGAGTTATATAAGGTGCGAATGGAGGAGCAGCTGAAAATCAACAAGCGGAAGAGGGCGGAGAGGAGGGCGGAGAAGAGTGCTATTGGGGGCATTGGAAGGCCGGCTTAGTGTCATATCCTTCCCCGTGTTTCTTGCCTAATCTTAGAATATGTGGGCTTCACTTCAATGTACCCTTATTATCACTAGCTTTTTTTCTTCGTTTCCTTTTTTTGTGGAAAAGGACCTTTTGGAGCTCTGCGTTTCTCCACGACTATGATCTTCGATAACTACAAGTATCGTACATCAGGCTTCCATAACGCTGCATAACGACTTTTAGAGAGAGAGTAAAAGGTATAATAAACCCCGTGTAAGGGATATAAAGGTTAAGAATTCCACCAAGAAACCATGCCAAGACAGAATATAAGTACACCAGCATCCGCAATGAGGGTAGTCCAGATCACACTATATCGAGCGATAGTGGTCAGGAAGGTTCCGAACGGATGTGGGAGGAAGCCTCCGATAGTAGTAAGCCAGGATCCCGGGGGAGGACGACCCTAGATACAGAGAAAAAGAGAGCATATTAACAAGAGATACGAGATAACACAACCACTAGACGGGGAGAAATAGTTACTCTACCTTTTCGAGGAAGAAACGAGAGGATTGTAGGATTAACTCCATGGTGGTAAAGTACCAGAACAACGGCTACACAAAGAAGGAAGTTAGCACACGTACAAGCAAACAAAACAAAAACAATTTGCGTAATGCAATGGGGGTCATGATCACCGGTGCCTCCTCTCTAGTCATGTTGGCCGACTCAGCTCTCTCAAGCGCAGATCCAGTGAAGCTCCAGCCAGTTCCCCGCAGAACCCAGACCGCCAGACACAAACTACTTAGTACATGTAATGCCTTCCACCGCATCCCCCACGACTGCTCCCTCTGCTGCATTTGTTGAATCTCCGGAGGGGGCATACCCATACCCATCCCCGGACCACTCAGTCCCCCCACACCGCCCATTAGTTGCTGCATCATCTGGAGCATAGGGTCCTCCTGACCATTCCCCGCAGCCTGACCGCCAAACACGTTATTCTCCGTCATCAACCGCCCCAGGTCCAGATCCGACGGATCACCGCCGGCGCCGAAAAGAGGGTCCTGCTGTCTCCGCACATCGGCGAGGGGACTACTCTGAAACGGGGACGGCGGAGGTCCCATCCCAGCAAATATATCCTCCCTTCCGATTCTCTCTCGCTGCCGAGCCCCTGGCTCGTAATGGTGGGCGGAAATGTCTACATCGGGGGGATCCGGGGTAACCTCTTGGGCCGGCCGAGCTGCCGGGCTTTCTGCATCTTTGGACTGTCGGTCAGAACGATGGGGCTAAAAGGGGTTAAGGGAAACCGAAGGTTCGGGTATGCTAGACTATCGTGGCAATGGTTTTTGCTCTCCTTTTTTTGCTTTTCTCTATTGTTTGAACATACCCTGGTTGCGGAATGTTTGACCCTGGGTCCCAGTTATGCGATTTAGTCTCGAGTTTCCCCCTTCTTTGACTTTAGCCTGGCGACGTTCTCGCCGAATTCTGGCTTGCTCTGCTGGGCTCAGTGGCGATGAATTAACCGGTAGATCTTCCATTATTATAGATCTGGAGCCAATAGAGAGACGTTGCGTAGAAAGGGTGAAAGACTTTTTTCCTCGAGGTTGTTGGGGTAAGGTGTCAAGATGGTTGGGTGCGGTTTAGAAGAAGCTTGGTTGTTGTCCCGAAGCTTATCGGTTCTCAAAAGCTTGACGTGGCTGACAGAATGCCAGCAGTCTACAACGAGTATGGGAACAAGTGGCCTAACTGAAGGAAGCAGTGTGCAACTCTCAACACCAGGGCCCGTAGTTGTGTATCGGCGAGATATTAGACTAAACTGGGAAGGCTAAACCGATGATCTGCGCAGGGCTAGCAAACCCTAAAGATTTATGCTACTCACCAGTACCGGGTTACAGTGTGGGTTTTTGCACCTCAAATCAACAACCACAATATTATTACATTTAGATTAGATCAGACTGGTTTTTTTCATTAAGTTACATGATATCGATCCATAAACGGCAGACAGAACGAGCCAATAACTAGGCAACCAGTGACCATCATACTTGTTGCGGGCGCCCCGGTACGGTCCGTAATACATTAATTAGAACAAAAGGGACTGCAGCCAGAAAAGGGTCTCAGATAAGCAAGAGCCTGAAGTGAAGGGGAAATAATAGAAGAGAATAGAAGGGGGGAAAAGATACACAGAGAATTCAACTCCAGAAAAATACAGAAACAGAGGCTCCTCCCTGGTCGTACACCTCCGGTTGTCATCATTGTCCAGATGAGTAAGAAGGGAAAAAACGAAAAATATGAAAATGGAATAGAGTGGAAGGAAAGCAATGAAACCAATAACTCCGGCCTCCCATAAAGCATTTTGTTACCACCGCTCTACTTGCTGGTATTTTACCCTAACCCACAAATACCCCAACGCGTACTCCACCCCAAAATCAAAGCGCCCACGCATAACTAGTAACCCCGATCCATCTGCAGTTGCTGGAGTTGCTGCAAATACAAGCGTAATCGAACGTTTCCCTTCTTGAGATCATCCAAATAATTGGCGGCGTGTACCAGAACCGCACTCTTACTATAACCCCCGGACGAGAGCTCCGGAACCAGGGAACAGAGGTCTTCAAAACCCTGACGAATGAGGTTTCGACGCTTCTGCTCGCTATGTATGTGATTTTCCCTCTTTTGTGCCTCGGTCAAGTTGTCCCTTTTCTGGCCACCAGCCTTCTTCTTGGCCATTCGCATGCTTGCCTCCGACTTTCGGGACCGCGGTTTACGGGCCGACTTGGAGAAGTCGTCCCCTCCATCCATGCGCCTCTTTAACATCGCACTGTTTCTTGAAGGGGATGGCGTACTCTCGTTATCATCGTACACGGGCGTGCCGGAATCATCGTCCTCCGTATCTCCTCCGCCTTGCTCGTACTTTATTTCAGTGGGCGAGTTTACAGCGGTAGTGACAGTAGAATCATTCCTGAACGCAGCGTAAACCCTCGAGCGGACCTCCACCTCTTTGTCCTCGAGTGGTACCGGAAGTGTGGGAGGGTGGTACCCGTTAGGTGCAAAGTTTGTATCAGTGCCAAAGTTGAGAAGGTTGTGATTGTTGAGTTGCTGAGAAGTCTGCCCTTGTTGGCGTTGCAGTAGCCCACGGCTAGTGTTAAAGGCGTTTATATCAATCTGCGAAGGCGCAGCCATAGGTGCGGCGGAGACCGAGCTGCTGGTGAGGTATCCATCCATGCCACCACTCAAGTATTGATGATGATGGTGGCGTGATGGCATTTCCGGGATAGTGTTCTGATAACTCGAAGGCATATCTGATGACCAGTAGGGGGAATCATCGGGAAGTTCGGTATCAAATAAATTTGAAGAGGCCACAGAGCCTGATCCGATGCTCTCAAACCAGTTCTCAAGTCCTTTTTGCTCGTGAGTATCAAGCAGTGGGGGGCCGACCGGGGCGGGGGGCGACGAAGCATTGAAGCGGGCCTCAAAGCCATCTGCAAAAGATCCACTGTTAGCACGAAGAAAAGTGAAATTTTCGGTTGTTGAAAGGACGGGGATAAGGGCGGTGGAAGAAAGAGTGAATAAGCGCACGGGGATATAGGCGGGGCAAGGTGGGGCACAGGGGGTTAGAGGGAGAGGGAGGGGAGGCGGGTTCTCACAGAAATCGAAGGTAGAACGAGAGGAAGCCATGGGATAGCAATGTTTGGGCTTAAACTTCAGTATTTCGTGATTGTAGTGTGAAGCGTTGAGCATTTGTAAGGATAGTGGATGGGTGACGGGGACTGAAGCAAGGGGGCGAGGAAGCGCACTCATCCGCAACCGTCGAAAGATGGATGGGGTGGTTGACTTCCTGTCTCCGCAACGGAATGTGGGGAGTGGATGGCGCTAACGTGTAGCGAGCCTGGGTTTTTGGGTAGCGGGTTCGTTGAGGTCTTACTGCAGCGGTAGTAAGAGCAACACAAGTAACGGTAGTAGCACGATAACAGTAACGGTATGATAATGAGCAAGAGAAACTGCTACTGCACCGGTAATTCAACAGTAGCAGTATTTGTGACTAGCAGTATGAAGCACTAGCAGCAGTAGGAGCAGTGGTGAGAGAAAGAGGGAGAAAAAAATGGTGATTTAAAAAATCCAAATTTTTTTCTTTCTTCGTTATTGTTCGCCTGTTGTGGCGTACCGTGGGAGTGTCCGTGGTGAGGGAATGCCTGTAGATGGGAAAGAATAATTCGCAAGATTGAGATGAAAGGGAAAAAAAAAAAAAAAGCTGACACTCCCTGCTTGCTTATGACGCGGGAGTCTTTCTCTGTATTTCTCTTCGTGCCTTGATCTATACCTTTCTCGAGAAGCAGGCCGTAATATCGTTGCACAAATCAAGATCAATCCAATCGACCAAGATGGCAGTGGATAATTGCCTCTGCTTTCCTTGTGCCTTTTTCTTCTGGTCCTGGATCTTCCAAATCGTTTTCTATATCTGCCCCAGATGCTGTAAACCGACTAGCTATTTCTTTCAGCTGACTGACCGACAATTCTTGGGTGTGAAGTGCCGTAGGGGTTCGATGGGACGGCAAGCCGATAATGGAGATGAGGGGGTTAGATATGCTGGAAGACACGCTGTCCAAGATCCTAGGTTTATCTCTATTTTCCATTTCTTCGATTGATGGGGAAACCATGACCCTTTTGACTTGTCTCTATATTTTCTTTTTTTCTTCTTCTCGTCCTTTCTTTTCTCAATTCACATCCATGCCTAGCCCTGTGTGCCTGAACTGTCCCCAGAATTGTATGATACCATAACCCATGAGGGGTAGAGGGACCAGGAGAGGAAAGACAGGCCAAGATAGCAGCAGTTCACGCTTCCTACCTTCTCCCCACCCTCTCCTTCTCCCCCCTTGGGCATGGAAGTCTCCGCTTGTTTCCAGACCTGCCAGCGGTAGGTGGTGGTGAAAACTAGCCCTTGCAAGTGCATATACATCTTCACGTGTTGTACGACCCCCAACGTTATCTCCGTGTTCGGGTCTTCTACGGCACTGCACCACCCTTGACCTACTAGTTAGAGAGGGTCTGAGAAATAGAGTGAACTGACTACACTGCACAGTGCATGCCAGCGTCTTAGGATTGTAGGCTTGCACCAGACGAGAAGGGCCGGTGACGATTCAGGTATCTCCGTTTCATCATTCATCAATCGGCACTCGACGTGGGCAAGTGCCCCGTTTTCTTGACCTGCCACCTGCCTCCCCGCATTTACAAAAGCTTGACTTGGAAAGCTCAAGTATTCAACCAGGGTGGATACATTGTACTTGTATAGCACTATCAAGCATACGCGGAGCTGATGCATATGCAATGGTTCAGGGCAGTTGGTTCCATTTGTGCTTTTCGCAGCCTGGTACCAGAACCCATCTTCCTTAGTGGAGGCCAGCCTTCCCATACGAACGATGCCAGTACAGTAGAGTGAGGGGAGGAGAAAGGGAGGGTGTGGACATCACCACTTGCATAAACGCCCGGAACAGATAGTGCACCTGTTTGTAGGACGTTCCCCTCTCATTTACAACGTTTCAGATCCTTCGAAAACCCTTCTATCATGCTTCTTCTCCGCATTTCAGCATGGCTCTTCTGATCGAGCTCACCTCAATTAATAGCTCTCCATAGTGGCGGACCAATAGTACAGTTACGATCGAAAGTGTGTTTGGTAGGAGTATTTTACGTTGCGAGTCGTGAATGGGCTAAATTTAACATGAAAAAGTTGTGTGCTCGTACAGGCGTTGCTCGAGGCGCGACAGGGATTGGGGGAGGAATGGAGGGGAAACCTTCAGGAAGTCATCTAACTGGTTGAATGCAACCCTATTTCGACTGTCCCAGATCTCCCAAACCGGTACCTTAGAATGGTAGAAGTTTTTCCTTTCTTTTCTTTTCTCCCCTTTTTTATTTCATTTTTCTCATTAATTTCTTATTTCCTTAATAGAGAGGGTTCAATGATGATGGTACTCGAGTAATAGTGGCGCCGGTAATTTATTACTCGAGTAGCAGGCATGCATGTCAAGCGTCAATTTTCTCAACCTACGATCAGTCCCTCGAATTTTTCTGTTTTCGGAACCCACTACATCCCCTATCCTTCCCAGCCCTTCTTCTTGTTTTTTTTTTTTTTTCGACTCTTGAGGTTTCAAGTGAGCCTGCATATTACCTTTTTTTGTTGTCTTGGGGGTATTTTTTTGTGCTCATTGCTAGTCTGCGCTGTGGTACTGTACTCAAATTTTGTTGCTACACCCACTATACTATTACCCTTACCCACCACGCCACCATCTCCAGAGCGACCACCACAACCGCTCTCCTCTGTCACCCTTTCTAGAGGGCCCCGGCTCTTCTTTTTTTTTTTCCTTTTTCTTCTATGTGCGCGCGCGAGAGAGTAAGAGTGAGTGAGAGTGTGTTAACTTATGAGTGAGCGAGTGAGCGAGTGAGTGACAAGTAAGAGATCAAGACACCCGGTGTATGATAGGCGTGTGCATTCTCTCATCGACGATACTCAACGTTTATCGTGGATTCTTCCATTCTTTCTTACCCCACCCTACATCTCTCTCTCTCTACCAAACAATCAGTTAAATGAACCTCATTGCTGCGTAGCTAACCTGCTTGGTAGATAGCGACTTATTGCTATTTGTACCACAGTACTATTTTCCATTTACCTTGTTATTTTTATTGTCGTGGTTTGAATATTGATTCTGGTGTGGTTCTGGCCTTCAAATGTCCCTCACTTCTCACTTTTGATATGGGTGTGTGTGTCGAATATGCGCTTACAGTTTACACCTTTATAGTTTAGCGTGCGCAAAGCTGCCCCTCAATAACCAACCACCTCTCTATCACAATTATGGATTTACTTCATATGCCCCCATATGGTCTAAAGGAGCTTATCCTTTCTCATCCGTTAGTATCCACGAACAGACATCCCCCCTCCCTGACTTCCTGCATTAACCAATCGAGATAAAGTCCTTTTTATTATCATACTTCTATTTTCTTTTCTTATTCAAAAAAGAAACCCACGTACAAAAAAATTCCTCACCAAAACTCAAGTTAAACGCCATAGCTGATATCATCCTCTTGTCCGGCCCACGCACTGGAGCACAGTTTTCTCAAAGCATATGGACTTGGCTTCTTGTACTATCTAAGTCCTCGCATTTTCGGTCTCGTGCTCTCGAAAGTTAAGCAGAGAATAAGCAATAAAAAGAGCAATGTTGTTTCACCTGCAGTGAGTGGCTACTGTCCCTGCAAGTCCTACTTGTTTTTTCATCCTTAGAGTATTCGGCAAATCGAGGACGCAACAAAGTATTTATACTCTTTTTAAAGCGTATTTACTAACTACTATCCCCCCCCGTCCACGCGGCCAAAGATTATAGATATTTTGAGAAAGTCCTCCGAACTTCACCGCTTTCCCGCATTTTGCGGCGTCATAATAGGTGGTTGGCATGTCTTACAACCAATCTTCGAGAAGTTTTTCGTGGCTGTCGGTAAATTTTCCGAGCCTCTGGGTGCCGAAAAGACTATCGGTGAACAGAGACGCAGGGTAGCTACATTTTTGGCATCCGCATCGGCTGCGGCTGTCGCCATACGACAATTGAACAGTCGTAGTGTAGAGATCACAGCAGGGCGAACGCTGGATCTCACTCTCTTTGCTGTCGTGAGAGCCCTGGACGTTGTGATTGGTGAAATTTGGGCTCGCAGAAAAGCCCACCGGGTCCACTCTAGGACCCTTGCTAGACTTAATAGGATCATTGAAAATAATGTTGATGCAGCTATATTTGCTGCAAGTGCTGCAGTGATAATGTTTTCCTGGTTCTATGAACCAGAAAAGCTGCCATCGTGAGTTTTGCTTTTTTTTCTCCCCCTCCTTGGGATTGCGTCGTAGATTATTTGCCAGCAAGCTAACCATAACATCCTCTCAAGGTCTTACAATAAGTGGATAACTGAAATTTCTGAGGCCGATACTCGTCTGATAACGACTTTGAGGCGGATAAGATCTGGTGAATTCGTATATGGAAAAGAGACAGGGCAGGCATCCTTGCTGCAGTCTTTATGCGAAGATCTCGGTCTACCCAAGATTTGGGGTGACCCAGCTGCCACGAAACGTATTCCTTGTGAGGTACGTATATGCTCGCTAACAGCATATACTCCCTCCCTTCGCCGTGCATGAAGCCCGAGTTTCAAATCCCAAGCTATTTTTTTTTTTAACGAATTTCTCGTCAACCTATAGGTGATTCACCATGGTTTCTCAAAGAGCTGTGAGCTCCACGCATGTTGGAGATTCTGGAACGCATGGAAAGCAGCATTCACCATGTACTTGGGATTGAATCTCCTAGTTCGGCTTCGAAACGGTCTCAGTGTACACACGTCCTTGAGAGCTATCGGTGATGCAGCAAAGTCGGCGGCATTTCTTGGAACGTTCGTCAGCACCTTTTGGTACACCATCTGCTTGACACGAACCAGGCTAGGACCACTTCTTTTGCCACAAAGTGATCAGTTATTTTTGGAGAATTTTTGCGTCAAGATGAGCTGCTTGAGCTGCGGTTGGAGTATTCTGGTAGAGCCAGTCCATCGTCGTTCGGAGATGGCGTTCTTTGTTGCTCCCCGTGCATTGGGAACTTTTGTGCCGAGAAAATATGACAGGAAGGTGTGCGGCTTTCATACTCTACTCCAAGTCCCGCTCTCCATCATTTTTGGCTAACTTTGGTGCTTTTCGTCTTGTCCCTCACAGCACCTCTGGAAAGAGACTTTGGCATTCGCAGTAAGTGCTGGAATTGTCTTTACTGCGCTCAAAGAGAACCCAAAGAGAGTGAGAGGGGTGTTTGGAAGATTTCTGGGCAGTGTGGTTTCCTAGAGCGGAGAAGGGGTGTTCCTCAGGCAAGCCCAGACCAGATCGTGGTATTTGTGGAGGTATAGAATAAAGTTATCAATATCATAATTTAATTTACATCTAATTTGGGTTTGCTTTATAATGTTTAAAAAACCTTACAGACAAACCCACAATAACCGTGAACTTTCCCCCCGCCCTCTACCCCAGACCGCCGAGGGTTCGCTCAGCAAAGAACGTGGCCGTCCCATCCTATTGTAAAAACCGGTAACACACTGAAGAGAAAATAGGACACTTCCTGACAACTTGGACCATCGGAATTGACCCCCCCTCCTTCAATCTTTCCCCAGTGTATTAGGGAAAAGAACATGCTGCCATAGCTGGTTAGCATGTCAGGAAAGCATAGGCACTCACAGAAACAGTGTGGGGGTGGCTCTAGTGATAGGGGCCAGGGGGTTACCGTTCGGGTCGGGCAAGGCTTTATTATTATCCGCGTCAACCTTGAGTTGCCTTGCTGTGCTTGACTGTTTTATGTGCACGTATATAGACCTCGAGTGAGAAGTTATGAACCACGCCCTTTTTTTTCTTCTTTTCCTTTCCTTTCTTTTCTCTTCCTATTTTTTGCTTTCCTGTTTGCATTAAAGCTATGATTCGGGAAATCTTGGGATCTTCTTGATTATTAGGATCGGGAGTAACTCTATTCCTTTGCGGGGAAGTTTTATTTTTATTTTTATTTTTATTTTTCGGGGTGCGAGGAGAGTATTATGATACTCTAATTATTAATTTAATTAATTGAGTCCCTCTTTTTCGCAAGTCTGTGTACTGTATTATCATACAAGTATGATACTGAGAAAATGAATAAAACAAATGAATAATTATACAATGCCGTAATTATTAGTTCGATCAGCTAATGCACCCCGCGAGACGTGCGTGGTATACTGTACTGCCCCGAGGGTGCGGTTCTGTCGATATAATGATTTGTTTCGTGTTTTTTTTTGGAGGGGGAGGGTTTGATTCTTTTTTTCGTTTTCGCTTTTTTTCTTTTTTTTTCTTTTCGTTTTCCCTTTAGCCGTATCATACTTGGCTGGGCGGAGAAGAGGGATGGGTATGATAGTCTAAATCTGTCTTTTTTTTTTTGTTCTAATGGTATCATGAGTATGGGTTGATTAGTTTCTATCATATAATACTAGGGACGGGGTGGATAAACCACTACAAGTCCTGAACATTTTTCACCGCACCGGCACCGTACTGTACAGTACTCGGTTTGATTTGTGAAAAGGTGCGTACCGTCTGGCTAGACTTGAACTCTTACAAACTGGCCCGTTTCGCTTTCCTCTAGAAGGAAAGTCGGGAAACGAAATAGCTATGGTATGATAGAGGGGATCAAAGAAAAAAGCAAAGGAAAATAAAGGGCACTCACGCCACTACAGTACGAAGAGTATCAAACCTACATAAAACTACCCCTGCCACATACGAGTAGTATTATCGGCGACCGAGAGAGGAGGATTCGAGACCTACTATACCTACCTGATGGCTCTACCCGTATTGTACTGTACGAGTACTCGAGTACTGTAACTTGCACATTGGAAGATGGCTTGGATAGCCCTGGTGGCTGATCGGGGAAATTTAACACGCACACTCTACTCTAAACTTTGAAAATCATTTTTCCTTAATCATTTTTTTTTTCTTTTTTCTCCTGCTGTTCCTAGGCTTGGATATGGGCGAGAGAGAGAGAGAGGAACCGGGAGTGCGATGGGATACGGTAGGCAAGACAGACGATTATGGTATGTGGGTTTTTTTTTATTTCATTTTATTGGCCAAGTCCAATTTCGCCTTTTCCCCCCCTCCAAACGGTGAACCGGGAAAAGGCCTTTAGTTCTTGTGAGCAAAACCATACGATCCTTGCGCTTTTCATATGGTGGATATGTCTCAGATGTATAGGTAACTTACGGATGTCATGCCCAATTCCCCCTTGTAGACAGGGTACAAGGGAGGGAGGGGGGGGGGCAGGCTTGCTGCCTATGTTTACGATTTAACTACCTTCCTAGAGTAGACTTTTTTTGCGTAGGTCCCGAAGCACATATCACTTGGGTCGCTGTGGCACTCATTGTGACATCCCATACTTGAGCAGCGCGGGGGGGAGTTGTATGAGTACTGTACGAGTACTGTGGACCTAGGCTGCATGCTGCACTGGTAGGGATATTAGGTCTTGGAAATTTTGGTAAGTGGGATTGGCCAAGGCGTTTCTAATGGGTTCTATGAGAGGTTTAGCTTTAAGGAGGGTGGCTCCTGCGGATCAATCCTTATAGCGGGTATCTGGTCACCCCCGGCGGAATTTTTCTCTACAGTGCTTGTCCCAGGCCAGAAGGATCCGAAGGCAGGGGGGGGGGTATGATATCTTGTATCTGTGCGTGTCTGCGCGCAGATTCATTTACTATTGAGCAATATACTCGAGTACCGGCATTTCCTTAATCCTCGTTTTCGGGTATTTTCTTGCCTGGGACACAAGTATATCACCGGGTGGGATGGGATGGGATGAGAGGGGAACTGTTTTGGTCAGAGGATGTTCGGATCCCCATACTACCGGTATACATATGCGTTGGGGGGAAGGGATAAGGCGATGTCTGGAGTTTGTGTCACGTGTCGTGATGTACTGTACTGTACGAGTACAGTACAATACAGTACTGTGTGCTGCATGACCGATCGTTACTTGTCGACCTAACAGCCTTGTAGGGACGACTCGCACATACCGGGGAGCCCGAGCAACCGAACCCAACTCGTGTCCCACATCGCCTCCCTCCCTCTTCGCATCTCATTCTCTCCATCCGGCACCGCACTGTATCCGCCTCCGTCCACTCCATCGTATGGCTACTCGTACAGTTCAGGTACTGCACCCAGTCTCGATTGGTTGGAGTGGAATCAACGCGAGGTGGTCCTTCACCCAATTACTAGGAACAACACACTCAATGCCTCCGAACCCTTCCGGCCCCCGGAGGATCCCACATCTGAACTACCGATATGTCTACCTCAGACTGACAGATTTGCCACTGGCAATGGAGCATCATCATACATAATGTATGGGTGCTGGTCCCTGTAAAAATTAATAAAGAAATCCCTAACGATTTGTTCGTTTTTGGACTCTGCACTTCAGCTTACATTGCCTTGAATCGTCTCCCTCATTTCGGGCCAGTAGAATTGGCCTAGCTTGGGTGCTGGGCCGATCGTGCCGACGGAGGTGTTTAGCCGGCGCGGCGATGAAGCCGGAGTCTCGGCAACTGGCCGGGAGGCTTTCCTTCTTTTCCTTTCTTTTTTCCTTCCATTCTCTCTTTTCTTTTTTTTGTTCATATTATTAGCATTGCATCTTGGAAGGGTGTGCCTTTATTCCTCTCACAAATTATCGAAGAGATAGTCTTTATTTTTGGTTTACTTACCGATATGCTTTTGCATTAGGTGGACCTGAGGGGAGGAAGGGAGCGGGAAGGCCGATCGGGGGGGATGAACTGATTTTCTCGAAAAGAGTTACCGGTAGGTGGGGTTGTGGGGTTGGCTCGAAATAACTTTCTCAAGTGCCTCGTCTTCCTGCCTCACGATTGTGTGCGCTGCCTTTTTTTTTTTTTTTTTTTTTCCCTCCTACACTACCTTTGCGCCTCATCGCCTAATTATTGATACGATGGATCAGCTGAGAGCCTCTATGACCCTTTGTGTTACTGGAAAGTTACATCAATGATCCAGATCGGTTTTTTTGCCCTTCCGTTGATAATCCGGATAGATTAGTTCGTGCTGTTTCATGGGGAAGCACTCGGCTACTTAGCCTGCTTTCCCATTCTCCTGCCTGTCATCCTATCGTACCCGCCCCCGTTCCACTGCGACGACAATCCGCCACCACGGAACTCTTGGGAGTGCTTCCCCCGTTGGCAGGGAGATACCTAGAAAGTGCAAAGTGCATGATCTAAGGCTGTAGACGAGTATGGTTCCTAAGACATAGGTGCCGGACGATGCAGGCTAGATTGCCAATGTACTAGTACGAGTACCGTACATTTGCATCTCAACCTCTTTCTTTTTTCTCTTTCTTTCTTCTCTTGTAGGATCCTCTTCCTGCCGCTGCTATATTCCCTCTTACCTGAATTACCTCGAGAGCCGATCTGCAAGGTAGGGGGCAGGGAAGGACAAAAGACGATTCAAATCATGTCGAGTCTGAACTCACCTCAAGCTTATCCTCACCGATCGGCATAATTTTCCCCATCATTGCGCCGTTGTGGAGGCGAGAAATGCCGGTTCGAGAAACCCGACCCAATTCCCGTCTGCACTCCAAATACGTCTTCTGCTCCACAGTGCAGATCACCAGCCATACATATCAGACGGCATCCACATCGGACCATACAGTATCCTAACAGGGAGATTTATTTTACTGCACTATTTTATTATTTTTCTTTTACCCTAGCCATGGGAGAATCCGTAGGAAACGTCCATTCGCAATTTGCAGTACCAGACTGGCTAGCCCGCTCCCGCCACCAACCCCCACAAAGTAAGAAAGAAAGAAAGAAGGAAGAAAAAAAAAGCGCCGACATACCCAGATGCACACATACCTGCGTACGTACGTACCGACGAGTGCTCTCCCGGCCCGCATTATTAAAGACAGAGCCAGGAAAGGGTCTCAGAATGTGTTGACCGCGTTTGTTGGTACCAGGTAGACCGCAGAGCGGAGCAGGCAACTCACCAATTAAGTTACACCTTGACCACCACCCCTTGCCGACGCCCCCACTGCTCTTCCCACACGAATATTGCCTGAACAGCTCAACCAACTACTCACTACTCGGTCCCGCTTAGGGCGGTTTACTTGGATCGGTTTTGGTTGGGCTGGTCAAGTTGGTTTGCTAGCTGTCTCATTGGATGGAGCAAGCATTGACCCCCATTCACTCATTCCTATTGTATTGTACCTGCTTTTTGACTCCCAAGTCAGCTCAAACAAGGCATCCCGCACGGAAAGTATATTTCTTGGCCTGGTTAGCTGGCAGGAGTGGAGGGGAGGAGAAGTGGGAAATACATGTGATACCGTACCACCATTTCCGTCTCATCCTGCGCACACTCTCAAGTAGGCTAAGGTACAACAACACGAGGACAAATATGCGTACATAAAGATTGATAGATTGATCGACAGATAGATAGATCATCATGGCCCGAATGAATCAATGATCTATGATTTATCTTTGACTGGAACGGACTACAATGCATAGTCCGTAACGGATGAATGGGTTGTTGGTTTCGGGGTTTACCCCACCCGTACTCACACATGATACCCCTCAGTAGTGGTGGTAGTTCGGGGGGGGGGTATTTTTGGGGGATCTTTGTTCTTCCGGCATCCGATGTCTGGTTATCTGGTTCATAGTGTATCACTCGGTTTCTGGTTTGTTGCGGAGTCTGGATTAGTTGAGAGAAGGAACGGGAGGAGAGGGGGAGATAGGATATGGAGTTATGAGTTGGCGATCTGTGTTTGCTCTAGAGGTGAAGCAGCAGCAGCCCTTCAAGGTGAAGGTGGCAAGAGACCCGATTAAATTACTAGTTCAATCTAGGCACACTACAAGTCAGAAAGGGAATGCCGCGAGGAAACGAGAGGAGGGGAAACAATAGTAGAAGAAGTACCCTGGTAGACGTAGGAGACTGGGTGTCCGCTAGTTTTGTTAGTAGACTGATTCTTACGATCCTCTACTTTCGGATCCTACTTCTGAGCTCTTTCTTTTCATTTTTCGCTTCCCCCGAGCTATTAGCGTTAGAGGTCCTGGGAGGACGTGTCATAGGATTAGTAGAGTTAACTTCGGAAGCTACGGGAGTCTGGTAGATTGTTTAGGAGTATGGTGGGTTTTTCTAGAGTTATAGAGATTTAGGGAGGAGATATTCTCCAGACATGTCTTTCCTTTGTCATCACGGAGATATAAGTGTAGTGATCTATGGAGGGATCAGGATGAGTTGATCATGTTTTATTGTCTTTACCGTTGGTTTAGTTTGGTGGGCGATCGAAGAGAACAAAGTTGTATCCCATACCTCCCACATCCATCCACACACTGCCTACTGTAAGTTCCAAGTAAATCCTCTTATCTACCGCCTACCGCCGCGCGATCGGCCTTCCACCTTTATCCACCGCTAAGGCGAGCATCTTACGAGTACTGTCCGAGGGGTGAGAGCAAACGCTCCGATGGACGTGGGTCTATAGTGGGGTTTTCATGGTCCTATCCAATTGAGACACTCAATCCCCGTACTTTTGTACTCGAGTAGTCAACAAAGTCTTGGTTACGGAAAAGGTTGCTAAGCGTTTTTCTGGGATAGTCGGGGGTGGGAATACGGGTATGCCTTCGGAACTACCCAGGACAGCCCCAATGGTTTTACGGGGGAAATAAGTGTGGTGCTTAGAATACGGGATAGACACGAACCTGTAGAAATTACTACCGTAGTTAGTTTTCCGTTCGCGTATCATACCACACGGGGCCGGGACTCGTGACTATCAAAGTGCACCTTTATACGTTGATCTCGATTCATCAGTTTTAGTAAGTATGGATAATCGGTCTGAATCCCATATCCCGAGGGTGTGCCGCAATGGGTGGGGTTCCTTTGCATCATACTGATAGGCTGCCGTTGGAAAGGATTACAGCTTTGGCCCTCTGTCCCTGCCCCGATCCTGGCAAGGGATGGTGGTTAAATATTTTGGAAAAAAAAGAATCTTGTTCCGCCAGTACTATGCGGAATCCCTGGTCAGTTTTGTGGGTGTTAAATTCTTATATCATATAGCCCGAAGTAAGTTGGTGGAGGGAACTTTACAATTTATGAAACTCTTTTTCCGCATATCCTTGCCTGGTAACTTCCAGGCCTCCCCCTCCCTTAAATCCCTTAAAGGCCTAGCGCTGTCTTTCCGCAGTTTTTGAACTGGAGGTTTTCAAGGGTACCGAGTATCATAGATGCAAACTAATAGATTTTTGTCCAGTTGCTCGTTGTCGCGGTGTTTGTGGGGTCACGATTTGCTTCCGTCATGAAGTATCACGCGGCTATTATACTGCAATTCTTACTTTGGTGATTGTGCAAGCGTTTCCGCGACAGGGTCTAGTACATTTGCTAGACAGGCATTTCCCCCTTCACCCTTCACTTTTACTTCCTTGCTGAGTAGGTATGATACCCCTCATAGCCTTCAAACCGCACTTTAATTCTGGGTTTGTGTCAAAAAGACAGACGTTTATCTAGCTACCTCCCCTATCATAAATAAAAGTACACGAGAAACAGCCAGGGCCAAGGACTGTGTTACCCTTGGAGTATATGCCAAATCTTAGCCAAATGATTCAGGAGGCTACGAGTCCTATCTTTCCCGTCTTAGTTCGGAGGATTGAAAGCTTTCAAAACCAATCAACCACCACATGGGGTAACAAGAGGTCAGACTTAGGCGTTTTCTCTCTCTCTCTTGTGATAAAATCAAGGGGATAGGTTAAAAATATAGTCTATGGGAATGAGGTTAGTTCGTCGTCTTCTCAGATACCAGATTCATGAAAATGTACTGCTTTAGTTCTTGATGTTGAGTGGACTCCAGACAGCCGTACACCCCCGATGCGATTCGGGAAAACCCTCACCTAAGCCCACCGATCCTCCTTTGAACCATCGTGAGTTCCCTAGTGCGGCTAGCTTTCAAAACCTCCGGTCAAATTTAGTTACCTATGTCATCTTCCTCCCTTAAACTCGAAATCGAGCAAGGTCCTGAAGGAGAGACAGCTTAAACCCCGCTTTAAGCTGATAGGGTATTTATCATAGCTAGCTTGATTCCGTCCCGCTCGTATGATATGAGGAAGAGTTTCTCAACTAGTCTTCCTATAGCTGTGCGAATAATTCGATTCCCTTTTATTGAGCACTATCATACCAAACTCATGCGGTCACTCACCCGCTATCACCCAATGAAGGCACCGTGACACTTGGTGGAGTAAAAAGCCGGATCGTATCTTCTTGCACTGTACAGATAAATGACAGATGAATTCGGCGGTATGAGCCCTGGTGAGTCTTGGTCGTTTCCTTGTTTGATTACAGGTATTCTTGCATTGTAGGGGTTTTCAGACGCCCTGAATCCTCTAACTTACTGTAATATTCGCACCTTATCGATTGGCTTTCCCTGGGCTATACACAGAGCCAACGTCAAAGCCCCTCTCATCTCCTGAACTTGCGCCAATTTGGCAAATTTTGGAAGGATATAGTGGTGTTGATTATGATATGGCAAAGCTTGTTCGTCGGGGCGGAACTTCTTAAAGCCCAGCCCAGGGAGCGAGCTCAATGCTAAGTTGTAGCTTTAGTTGTGGTGAGTTTTATAAAGTCACCAATCGGCTCTGTTCGTCGAGATATGGTGCAACCTGGTATGTTGTTTGGACTTGGTTTTGTATCATACTGAAAACTCAGGTTCATCCTGGGGCACGTGCTTGCAGAGTTTAAATTTGAAGTCAGGGTCTAAGGGTAACTAAGGGGGTATTTGGCGCATCATACCGCATAATGATATCATATGATATGATTCGGTTTCGGAATCCCACGTTAAACCCTATTCACACAGGACTGTGATCATGATTTTGAAATCATTTGTGCGCTAGAAAACTTGATTTGGCCTTGAGTTTAACTACAATTAATTTACTTTTACTACTCGAGTAGATATGATATTATCATATTTCGAAGACATGACAAAAGTAATACATGTTAAAGTATTACTAATAGCTCGGGGAGATCAAATCAAAATCAGGAAGCCAAATTGTGTTTACCATCTAAGTTTGAAAACAGACTCTGATTTAGGCATGATATCATACACAGAAAGAACACTCCTAGTTTCAAACCCAGTCTTGGCAAACAAAACTGATTTCAAAATCAAAATCATGGCACGCTAAGCACTCCCCAAGTTAATCGATCTAGGAGATTTGTATCGGGTTGGGATTACTCTATTGTGTGGCTTACTTTAGGGGGCGTTTGGCCCGCCATTTATGATTTCAAATCGCAATTTGAGATCAGGTCTTGGCAAGTTTAACTTAAATTATTAGTTCTATTAATCTTGTACCTAGTTCGATATGGAAATAATAATCTAAGTTAAACTTGCCAAGACCTTATCTCAAATCACGATTTGAAATCATAAATGGCGGGCCAAACACCCCCTAAGAATCTTGGCCATCTGATCATCTCTCTAGATGGACTTTTCCCAAGAAACAACCCCAGCCAACCAAAGGGAATCTATCATATATACCGGTCAGGGCCAGGAATATGGCTGTGATAAGCGCAGTCTTCGCAATAGCAGCTTCGGGGTGTCTGTATCCCTATATGAGTGATACTTTGTGACTCCCGGGTGAAGAACTCGTGGAAAACCCTAATGCGTGCGCCTCGTTTACGCCACATCCCACTACGAAATCATGGCGCAGCATTTTTTTAGCTGCTCCTTATTCCAACCTGTCCACTTCAAAATTCCAGCTTTGGGAACAGGACACCTAACAATCGTCGTTCAATAGCTCATACAACCATCCGCATCCACTGTTTATTTACCCGTTCCTTCACTACTATACGACCTCCTCCGCGGGAAAACCTATCGAAAAAAAAAATCAGAGGGAGCTTACGGCATAGAGAGTTAACGAGGTCACGAGAAGAAAGGGGCACATCTAGAGGATGGCCAGAATTAGAGATATCCAGCGGACTGCCGCTTTTACGTGGTCTCCGGGCACTGCTCCTTTTATTGCAACGGGTACTCAAGCTGGTGCGGTTGCCGCTGATTTTTCCGACAATACCCAGTTGGAGCTGTGGGATCTGGGTCTGGGAAATGCCCATGCCGGGGGTGAATTAGCACCGGTTGCGTCAATTACTACCGATAGCAGGTGTGTCATAGCAGCGGAGCGCAGTTTCTGGGGGTTTGTGGGTGGTATCCTAGGTCTGTTGGCTGACTGAAGGTAGGTTCTACGACATAGCTTGGGGAAAGGTGTCCAATGATAAGCCTCGGGGAATTATTGCCGGTGCATTGGAGAATGGGTCATTAGATCTATGGAGTGCCGACGCTTTGCTGAGCAATAGTGGGCAGGTTCCCCTAGTCGTCGTTTGGCGGTCCGGTTGCTAATTCTATGTCTAGTGATCCATTGATCTCTCGGACAACAAAGCACATGGGCTCTATCAAATCGCTCCAGTTCAACCCATTCAAGTCCGAACTTCTTGCTACGGCAGGTGCGAAGGGAGAGGTGTGAATTGACCGTTTATGTATGAAACCGAGCATGACTAACTCATCTCTATAGCTATACGTTTGGGATCTCAACAACACCGAAAACCCTTTCCTTCTTGGAAATAGGGCTGCTCGGGCTGACGACTTTGACTGCGTGGATTGGAACAAGAAAGTTCCCCACATCTTAGTTACCGGAGGAAACGGGGGTTTTGTGACAGTATGGGACGTGAAATCTAAGAAGGAATCGCTGACATTAAACAATTTGGGCCGCAAGGCGGTCAGTGCTGTTGCCTGGCATCCGGAACAGGTTTGTTGAGCTTAGGTCGATCACAATAGCCATTGCTAACAATCCGCAGCAAACAAAACTTATTACCGCTATTCCGGACGACACCAATCCGGTCATATTACTTTGGGATTTAAGGAACTCAAATGCTCCTGAGCGGGTTTGTAAATCTTCATTAATTTGTATGCACCAAGGAGCTGACAACATTTGTAGACATTATCTGGTCACGAATTGGGTGTACTATCTCTTTCCTGGTGTAAACAGGATCCAGACCTGCTCCTCTCTTGCGGTAAGGATAATAGAACGATTTGCTGGAACCCACAGACAGGAGAGAAGCTTGGTGAATTCCCAGTGGTCACCAATTGGACTTTCAAGACTCAGTGGAATCCCAGGAATCCAAGTCTTTTAGCTACTGCCTCATTTGATGGAAAGATTGTTGTCCAAACTCTCCAAAACACAAACCCGACCTCGTCGCAAACCGATAACTTAGGCGCCACACAACCTGATACTGATGACTTCTTCTCTAGAGCAAGCAACGCTCAAACCTCCTCATTTACTCTTAAGCAGCCACCGAAGTGGCACTGCCCGCCCGTGGGTGCATCATTTGGGTTTGGCGGTAAGCTGGTCAGTCTCACATTTCCAGAGCCTCAGGCTGGCCAACCTCGTCGGTCTGTAGTAAAAATCTCGACCTTCGCTGTCGATTCCGGGGTTAGTTCGGCTACCAAGAGCTTTGAGAAGGCGTTGAGTGAAGGCAACCTTGTGAACGTCTGTGATTTAAGGAGTCAGGATGCGAAAACCGATGAGGAGAAGGCGGATTGGAAGATTCTTAGGACATTATTCGAGGGGAATCCTCGGGAGAAGTTGATTGAGTATCTCGGATTCAAAGAGGAGGATTTGGAAGATACAGACGCAGGGGTGGACACAAAGAGCACCGATGGTGAAGGTGAAAACCAGAGCTTGGACCAGTCAGATGGCCCAGCTGCCCATGACAAACGGCTTTCATCATTCTTTGCGGATGCTGGCGCCGATTCTGAAAACTTTTTGGCGGATCTCTCCTCCATTCAATCTACTCGTGGGGCGAAGGCGAACAATCCTTTCCAAATATTTACAGGAAACGAATCTGAGGCGGACAGGAAGATCACTCGCGCACTTGTTTTGGGCCAGTTTGAAAAGGCCGTTGACGTTTGCTTGAAGGAAGACCGCATATCTGATGCATTCATGCTGGCAATCTGCGGAGGAGAAAAGTGCATCGAAAAGGTCAAAACTGCATACTTTACGAAGAATGTTAAAGGCCCAAACTATCTGCGTGTCCTAGCTTCTATTGTTGGAAAGAATCTCTGGGACGTAGTCCACAATGCGGACCTCGCCAATTGGAGGGAGGTGATGGTCGCTCTCTGCAGTTTTGCGGACGAAAAGGATTTCCCAGACCTTTGTGAGGCCTTGGGCGACAGACTTGAGCAAGAATTGGGGCTCGCAGAAGGAAAAAAGGAAGCCCGAAAGCATGCATCCTTCTGTTACCTGGCAGGTTCGAAGCTTGAAAAGGTTGTTGATATCTGGATTGAATCGCTCTATGAGGGTGAGAAAGCTGGTTTAGAAGAGACTTCTGATGATTCAGCATTTGCCATTCACGCCCGCTCTCTTCAAAACTTCATTGAAAAGGTTACTGTGTTCCGGGAAGCAGTCAAGTTCTCGGACGAAGAAAAAAACCTCTCCGGTGGCTGGAGGCTCCGTGTCCTTTATGAGAAGTATTGTGAGTACGCGGACGTAGTTGCCTCTCACGGACAACTAGAGGTTGCGGAGAGGTATCTGGATCTTCTCCCGACCAATTATCCTGCAGCCACGGTAACTAGAAATCGGGTGAAGGAAGCTTCCGGGAAGGGAGTGACTGCGGCACAAGCTCGCAAGCCACAGCAACCTGTCGCAACTGGATATGGTTCCCAGCAACATCAAGCATCTAGCTCACCGTACCAACCTCAGCAGCCAGCAGCCGTGGCTACTGGTCTTGCCAATCCCTATGCACCACCAGCGCCAGTGGCAGCTCCCGTCAATCCATATGGTGCACCGACAACCACGCCACAGCCCGGCCCATATGCTCCACCTGCCCCACCAGCTGGAGCGAACCCCTATGCTCCCCCGACAGTGACTCAAGGATACAAACCAGGTCCCTATCAATCTACCCAGCCAGCTCAAATCTCTGGGCAATATGGAACCGGATATCCTGGATACAATGCCACTGGCTTTGGCCAGCCCCCCCCTCAGAGAAACTTCGGTCCCGCTACCTCAGTACCGCCTCCTTCCCAGGCATCCAATATGGCTAATTGGAACGATACACCTAATGTGACCAAAGTTCCTCGCCGCGGGACACCTTCCGCGACAGCACCAGTTACTTCTCCTTTCCCAGGCGCTCCAGGCGCACCATCACCGCCAACGACGTCTATGCCTTTTGGTGCACCTCCCCCCAGAGGGTCTTCTGCACCCCCTCCCCCCAAGAATGCTGCACCCCCACAACGGGTCCAGTCTCCCGCCCAACACCAGTTCAGGTCCCAGTCTCCAGCTGCTCAGGCACAAGCACCTTATTCCCCGGCTGCACAAGCTTTCCCCCCTTCGCAACCTAGCTATGCTAGCGCCCCTCCTCCAACCGCGGCGGCGAGTAGGTATGCCCCTGCCCCCGCAGCTGCAGACGCAGCTCCACAACCTCGCCAAGGTCAAGCACCACCCCCCCAGGGAGCTTTTATAGGTGCAAGGCAAGTTGGACCGGGACCTCAATACGCACCTCCGCCAACCGCCTTCGGCCAACCGCCAGCGCCATCACCTTATGCACCAGCGCCATCTCAAAACCAGGGTGGCCAGTATGGCGCACCCCCAGGACCTGGCCAATATGGACCCCCGCCTACCCAAAGACCACCATCTCAACCCGCTCAATTGGAGGCCGCCCCGCCACCAAAGGCACAGACACCAGTCCCACCTCCATCCAAGCATCGTGAGTATATCATATAATTGGAAAAATAGCCCTTATCCTAACACATACCAGCTGCAGGTGACCGAACACATATTCCTTCACAGTACCTTCCCATTTTTGAGCTCTTGACTTCCGACTTCGAGAGAGTCAAGCAACGTGCTCCAGTATGCATGCCCTTTCTAGAGTTTCCGAGTAAATTTGGGGAGTTGACCAAATACTAACGCATATCTAATTCAGCCTCAATTCCAACGTCCAGTCAAGGACACTGAGAGGAGGCTGAACATACTGTACGACCATATCAACAATGAAGATGTTCTTTCTCAGGAAGCACTCGAGAGTATGCTGGAGCTCTCAAGAGGTTTGTTCACTTTCCCATTTATATTTATATTCAGAGCAATTCCTAACATTTTGGCATAGCACTCGTTGCCAAGGACTATACGACAGCACATTCCATTCACGTGG